CATAACAGATCAATGGATATTTTTTAATTTTGCTGATTGTAGGGGTAAATTTGGCCCGATAGTCTATTAATAGGGGTAAATTTAGCCCGATAGTATAATAGAGGTTAAATACAGACAATATATGAAAATTGAGATATATTTGGCCATTTTCACTCGCATATAAAGGGAGAAAACTTGAATTGCTTGGCCATTTTGGGGCCATGCTTCATTTATTAGTCCCTCACACAAGTATTAGGTGGCATGTCTCTCGCTGTAAAATTTCTCCTTTGTAAGAGGCCTTTGCTGGGAGATAAAGGTTGAGCCATGAAATTCATTCACCAATACTTCTAAATTTTAAACTAACAACCAAGCATACCAAAATGCGCCCGAGCCTCTCGAGACCCAAATCACACATATATGTAAGCCTCAAATTATCATATGAACCTGCGAAAAATCTCAAACAAGGAAACACGGTGCACTATAAGAAAATCACCGTTTTCCAACAACTAATTTCGACTATAAATAGTCGGAATTTCGTCTACTTTTCTGGCTACTATAGTCTGAAAATTCTGACTACTTGCTAACCACAGTAGTCGGAAGCTCTTTTCCGACTACTCCAAAACAGTCGGAATTTAGTCGAAAAATTAGATTTCTCGACTATTTTTTCAGTAGTCGAAACGACTATTTTCTAATAATGATTAATAAAACTCAAAACGACATGTTGGGTTGTTACATCCACAATCGTATTATAAGCTTAATTATCATTTACGTAAGTAACCATATTATGAGCACGATTAATCTCGAGAACATGAAGTATTTTAATTCAGACCAACAAAGTAGGGTTCGTCAATAACAAAGAGACATCAATTTTAGCAACAATCTAAACACCCTAGTGGTCTAAGAATGTAGCAGTAAGAACAACAACAGCACCCAATTGTTGCACTAACACGCTAAACTGTCGAACCTCGACCGGTTCCTTAGGCGGTGAGCCTATAAACGCCGCGTCACAATTAGCACTTTCCGCCAACGCCCCATTACCACCATCCACGGTCTTTCTAAAATCTCCAGACTGTAAAATTTTTCCAGTTTGGTTGAACAAATTTGCGCAGTTCAAATAGTGGAACGCGCACGCTTGTAACCTCGTTTCCAAGACCCCTTTGGCACTTTCCAAGAGTTGATTAACCAAATCCAACGTCTGTCTAGCGCTCTTCTCTGAAAAGTCTATGGCAATTTGGCATAGACCACGAAGATCCGCGTTTGCAGAACGCGGATCTGAGTTATAAGCTAGTAGGCATAAAGAAGGATTTGGTGCCTTTGAACATATCAAAGAGATTGAATATTTGCTACTTGCATGTGCCTCGTATATGCCTTGCAGAACTATAATTGTCAATAAAAATTGTTTGTTAAGTGAAAATGCCATTTTTGTGCCTTCTTGTTTATGGTTGGACTCTTTCTATCCCAATATTTATAAGGGATTTTTACACAAATAGCTAACCATATTCAATGTTTAATTTTTCTATGTAGTATACACTGGTTATATATTAATTATACATAGTTTTTTCGAAAATTTCTAGGGGAACCCGTAGCCGCAACTCTTCAGGTGCGCACTGGGTAACCTGCTCACTGTGCAGTTGCTCGTAAACCACTGATGCAACGAGCTTTGACTGAGGAGGCTGCTGTTTTATTTCAGTTATGGTTTCTTAGGATATAATCATTAGTAGAATATGGAGGACAAAGATAAAATAGGAAAAAATTTAACTAGATATTTATTAGCTCGGATACTCTAGGAAGTTTTTTGGAGATTTTGTAATCAAATTCCCATTTTCAAAATTGATTGCGCCAAGATTCTTATTCACTCGCTTACATTGGGCTATTATTTATTTGTTAAATCCCAATTGAGGTTACTATTTTTGCCACAACTTCTTTAAAGATATAGTAAGAAAATAAATGATATACTTAAACTTCTTTAAATATTTATGGGAAAAAATATTTTCTATATTTGATTGGAGAGAGAAAAATATTTTTTAGAATAAAAGAAAACTCATTGCATTGATTTGAAACAAGTCACAATTTATTTTTTCTTACAGGCCCTAAACTAAAAGGAAGATAATATTCTATCATTAATGTAGGTACTAAACTAGAAGGCAAATAAATATTCTACAGATATCATAAAATATTTCCTAAACTATAAGAAAAATTAATATTTTGCAATTAATGTACATTTAAACTAGAAAAGTAATTATAATAGAGTATCTCTGAATACTACTCCCTCATTCTCATTTAGTTGTCACATTTCTCTTCTCCAAAGTTAAACTATATGAACTTTGATCAACATTTCACATGTATTTTTACCATATAATATGAGCAAATTGCAAATTATAATACTTTTCATATAATTTTTGAATATCCAAATTTTACAATAATAAGCCCAATATAATCCCATAGATGGGATCTGGGGAGGGTAGTGTGTACGTAGACCTTACCCTTACCTTAAAAAGATAGAGAGATTGTTTTCGGAAGATCCTTGGCTCGAGGAAAGATACAAAAGATGTAGTAGCAACAAACAATAAAACTAGCACTCCAATAAGGAAATCGAAGCAAAAAAACAAAAAACAAATAGTAGTAGAAAATCACGACTAAGAAAATACAAGACTAACACTAACAGTATTGATAGGCCAAGGAACACACTGGACTATCTAACTTCTACCATAATTCTCGACCTCCACACTTTCCTATCAAGGGTCATATCCTGGGTAAGCTGAAATATTGTCATGTCTTACCTAATCACCCATTTCTATTACCTCTTCTGCCTATCTATACCTCTCATAAGACTCGTCAACCTCTCACACCTCCTTACTAGGGCATTGGTGCCTCTCATCTTCACATGTTCAAATCATCTAAGCCTCGCTTCTCGCGTCTTGTCCTCTACGGGAGCCATACCACCTTATCCCGAATATTTTCCTTCATAATCATATCCATTTTGGTATGCCCGCACATCCATCTTCGCATTCACATTTCTAAAACCTTCATCTTTTTGAACATGATGAGAATTCTTGATTGGCCAACAATCTGTAATGACCCGACTTGTTGTTTTGAACATCTATGTTCCTTTCAAAAATTTGAAGTCTTGATCAGCTTCGTAATATGTACTATGACTTGTGTGAATTGTCGGCTTTGGTTTTCGGATAATTCAGGATTTAATTGAGAGAACAATCCTTGTTTAGAAACTTAAATAAAAAGAGTTGACCGATTTGACTTTTTGAGCAAATAACTCCGGAATGGAGTTTTGATGGTTCCAATAGCTCTGTATGGTGATTTTAGACTTAGGAGTGTGTCCAGATATTCATTTTGAAGTTCGTAGTTAAATTCGGCTTGAAATGGCGAAAATAGAAAATTTAAAGTTTGAAAGTTTGACCGGGGAGTTGACTTTCTGATATTGAGGTCGGAATCATATTTTGAAAATTGGAATAGCTTTGTTATGTCATTTATGACTTGTACGTAAAATTTGAGTTCATTCCGGATTGATTTGCTATGTTTCGGCATCAAACCTAGAATGTTCGATG